AAATAATATGTGATATGGCCCTGAAAAATATATTTGATATGGCCCTGAAAAATATATTGGATGCGGCCCTGAAAATAATATGTGATATGGTCCTGAAAAATATATTTGATATGGCCCTGAAAAATATATTTGATGTGCCCTGAAATAATATTGGCATGGCCCATAAAAAAATGCATATGCTAAATTTTTTTTATTAATTCTTTTGATAACAATATTTTAATATATAATAACAATAATAACAAATGTTAATTAGGTTTTATTGGTCCGCCTATGATCTCTCCCATTCTCCCAATCACGGGAATAATTTATAACCTTCCCGAGGGCTTGGTTAAATGCTTGCTCTTTAATAGGGCTCAACTGCGGATTTTTAATTGATTCAGTTGTCATTATACCTGTAACAAAATGTATAGCCATAAATAATAAAATCATCTATGTGTACTGTGTGAATAATACCTACCATATAAACACTTCACAAGTTCACTGTCTTTAAGACATTAAACACTAAAAAAATAAAAACTAAAAATTAAAATTAAATTATTCGATAATAATAAAAAGAAAAATACACGATAAATTGTTAACAAGAATACACTTACTTGAAGCATTGCGCGACTTATTGCCTAAATTTATGTTACATTCCGACAACTGCTGATCGACGTTATTCTGATTTACAAAACGCCCTTTATTCAAGCGGTATTGTTTTTCAGAACATCTTGCCTTCTGTTTATGGTTTCTTCATTGTCCGTAGAAAACGCATATTCCTTTTGTTGCAATATTTTTAACTTTTCCAAGGCAATTTAATATGTATCTGAAATTACAACTCAAATCAAAGATATGTTTATATATATATATATATATATATATATATATATATATATGTATATGTGTGTGTGTGTGTGTGTGTTGTTTGTGTGTATATAACAAAATACACAATACGTAGTTGATCAATAATACTTACTCGCGTAATCTCGTACATCCACCTCATGAAGACCCAATTATCCGATGCTGGTGCCGCCCGACGCTTCACCAAATCTTGAAGAAGAAGTAATTTTTCTCCCGATAGCTCATAATTATTTAAAAATGGGCATTCGAATTTATCTTATCCTTCATTATATATCAACCAATCCACCGGCACTACATCGATACTCTATTTTCACTTGTATCATTGAGAAATAAAACAACACAATACACTACTTTTCCACTGATTATTAAACGATAATTACACGACGTTTTCTTTAAAACAAATAAAAATATATCGTAATAATATTTCGTAATTTCGCACTTCCTATTAAACACATAACGACCGCTTAGCTTGGCATTCAGTAATGAACTAAAAAACTAACAATGGTCCTCTTTGATAGAAGATGAAGTTCTTACATACATGTATTGGTGCCTCGATCGTATTCCATATTATCAATCAATGGTTTATATAATATGATATGCAACGGCGCGATGATGATCTCTTTCTCTGCATTCAATATATACTTATATATATATATATATATATATATATATATATATAAATTTTTATGGGTCGTCGAATAAAAAATTAATGTTCTATTAATTTTTTTACGTAGAACTTCAATATTAGATCTATTTGAACTAATATCAGTATTTCTGTCCACATAAAAAAATTGTTCGAAATAATATTTGACAAAATGTTTGTTGCCTATTCGTATTATATGAGCAATCATAAATGTATATTGTTCACAATCTGCTGTACGCCGGCATCTATAAAGTTAACGTGTGACATAGCGCCGATCTTTCTTACTCTTGCCCACTCTATTTCATTCGATGTTAATGTTTAGCAGTATTTAGAATATGTTAAAATGAAATGTAAAACTTTTGATATTTATTATTGAAGTAAAATTATGTAAATTTATTTCAGTTTTTCTACTTGTCCTATGTCAAGGTCCTATGCTTTAGATAGACCAAGTACGCATAAGAAAAAGGTCATCGATCCTGTTTCTGATTGTTACACTTTCGATACTCGATATGAGTTAATATTCATGTATAGTCTAGACTCTAAAATGAATAAATACGATATATGTGTGCTGGACGAATTTTCTAAGAAGGTCCTATATCTTATGCAAACAGTTCACGTACGCAGAATTGATCTTATTATTTCTACTTATTACATTAGATATGATTATTATATATATATATATATATATATATATATATATATATATATATGTATATATAATTTCAGTGAGGAAACTACTACTATTATTAATAAATTGATCATAACTTATAGTACATTAATTTTTTTATTCGACGACCCATAAAAATTTATATATATATATATATATATATATATATATATTATATGTCTCACATGACAAAATCGAAAAATAGTAATATACCTAATAACTTCTAATCACAAAAGTATTATTTTTATTAAAAAATTATTTTATTGTATTCGCTATAATTTTAATATCTTGTTATATAATCGATTCAATAATTATTTTTATTGTTAATAAATTTTATGTAATTTCCTATCTTTCATGATTTTATTAATTTTATTAAAAAAAAAACACTTTTGGTTTTGTATTACCATTGGATTTTTTGTTCATAGTGTATAAAGCTTTCGTAAATTTGTATATTATATTTATAATATATTGATAATAATGAATACGGTATCATGCAGATTATGGAAAGAACGAAGAAATATATTGTTACCGATTACATATTGTTATTATTTATTAATAGTTATTTTTTAATTCATTTATTGTTTATTATTTATTATTTCTTTATATTAATTTGATATAATTTATTTCTATATTTATTTTAGACTATAAACGACAATCATTGATCACATAAACACATTATAATCCTTTTTTTACAAAATATTAATAAATCAAACTATTTTGATTCTATTGATATTGAATCCTAGTAGGATTCAAATAAAGAATGCAGATAGGGCTTGTCTAAATAATCTGTGGGTAAGCCGTATTAGGGCTCTAATAATGAATTTCCAATACGGACCGTATCATCATATTATGGCAATACGTATTAGGGGTACAATAGGGCATCCGAATATGGCCCGTTTCAATTATTATAGGGCAATCCGTGTTAGGGCTGAATTCAGGCATGCCTTTTATGGACCCTATTCAAATTACCATATTAGGACCGCCCATATATGGCCCCTATGAGGGCCATGCACAAATTCGTAATAACGGACGCCGGAGTAGAGCCTTATAGGGGCCTATAGGGGCCGGACTGAGTTAGGGCTTGCCGTCGTTTAACAAATTTCCACTCGGGTTACTTCCACAACTTGATATTATTACTAACCTTTTCGGGTTATATTTGATCGCATTGTAATATTTTGGATCCGTTTGAAATATATTTGAAAGCTTTGGATTATTATATAACGCTTTTTATTGATAGTTATAACACAGAGTTATTTTTAAAGATTTTGGACAATTTATGATAAATTTGATTTATGATAAATTTAACAACGTAATGTGGATTTTAGATTATATTTAAGGACTTTGAATTATTATTAAAAAATATGAACTATAATTGGTATATAATATTAGGATTCTCATTGACAACTTGGGGTAAGTTACAATATCTTTATGTTATTTAAAAAAAAAGAATTATTATTTACTATATTTGTAAATATTTCATTTCAGATCATTTTGGATCATTTGCAACAAATTTATATGAATTGAAAATCTTTGGATTATTTTTTACAACTTTGAATTACTTTGAATCATCATCGACATATTTTACAATTTTTAGTTTTTTATGGTTCACAAAAAATTAAGTTATTTACAATAACTCTGGTTTATTATTGTCAATTATGGATTGTTTTTGACAATACTGGTTTATTATCGACGACTTTTGATTACTAATTCATATATATATAAATATATATATATTATATATATATATATATATATATAAACTTATTTTTAACAACGTTGATTCATCAAAAAAAATCTGGTCTGTCAAATAAAATCCAAAATCTTGAACAATATCCAAGTTTATCAAAGAAAATTCAATATCGTGTAAAAATTTAAGTTTATCAAAGAATATTTAAGTTGAACATGGAAAATCCAAGTTTTTGCGCAGAAAATCTAAGTTTATTAGAAAACGTCCAATTTCGACACGTACAATTCCACGTTCATCAAGAAAATCGAAGATAATCAAAGAAAATCTAAGTTTATTAAAAAAATCCAAAATTGTCGTAGAAAATCCAAGTTTAATTAAAAAAAAATCTGAGATTATTAAAAAAAAACTAAATTCAACAAGTGATAATCCATGTTTATGAAAGATAATCCAAAGTCTTCAAAGAAAATCGAAAATTTACAAAGAAGATCCAAAGTTTTCAAATAAAATCCAAAGTCTACAAATAAAATCCGAAATCTGCACGTCAAATTTAAATTATTAATCATAAATTATTGAAAAATTGTTTTACAAACTCTTAGTATCTTATAGATTTGAAAAAAAAACTAAACATCCGAAGTTTGCAAAAAAAAATTCAAGTACAACTTGGATTAGAGCTGAACTTGTAACAAAAACAGAAATAATTAAAAAAATCTCAAAGTCGTTGAAGAACTGGATAGTTATTCATAACTATTAATAATTATTGAAAAACAAAAAAATAGGATTATGTTCGATTACTTAGGATTATCATTTACAACTTTGGATTATGTATGAAACAATATTTACTTACAACAAAACTAGAGCAAAAAAATATGTTCAACCGAACAAAGAAAGCTAAATTTACCCAAGAAAATCAATAATAACACATTTTTTTCTATACACAATTGAAAGCTTAAACACTCTACTATACTTTTCCATCGTAAACTATTCCTTTTTTACACCAATTTCCCCTAAAATCTCCGTACAAATCTGTCGAACAGGTGTTACTTGCGATTAACAGGACGCATATGTATGTAGGCAGAAACTTGCAAAGCAAATTACATCAGATGAAAATAAATTAATATTATGATACTGTACACACCTTGTTGTACATACACACACACACACACTTGAAGATAAAAAAACATAAAATTAGATAATTAGATAACTAGATAATAGGCTAGGATTGCGCCATTAGTAAAATGTAGTAAAGGAAACTTATTATTTTGATTGACGTAGGTTAAAAATACGTATAAAATCAACATTTTTGCAAATTTGTGGAGAAAATTATTTTTAGTATTTAAAACAAAGTTTAAGGTGTCACGTGACCAAATTGCAACATCCTAGTGCCTAACTCTAATTAGTTTTGCTTAGTAGAAAACACTCTTGGTTAATTTATATAAAAATACAACACTTTTTGTATTCTGATGGCTATAAATTCAACATTTTTGCAATTTTTTTGTGGAAATTATTTTTAGTATTTGAAACAAGGTTGAAGTATCACGTGACCAAATTGCAATATCATAGTGCCTAATTCTATTTAGTTTTGCTTAGAAGAAATCTGTCTTGCACAACTCTTAAAAATTTATAAAAAAAACACTCCTTGAATTTTGGTTAAGGCTTGCATAAACTTTAAAATTTCAAAGCCAATTTGGCAAATTTTTGGACGAAATTATTTTAAAGATTTAAAAAAATGTTTAAGGTATCACGTGACCAATTTGCAACATCCTAGGATAAAACCCTAGTTTTATTTGCTTATAAGAAAACACTCTTGCAAAAATTTTGGTAATGTACAGAACATAAAACACTTCTTGCTTTGAAACAGTATTG